GGAGCTGGGGGCTCCCCAGCCCGGCTCTGCTGCCTCAGGTCACCCCAAGGGGCTCCCCAAAACCTTCCCGGGGGGTGGGCAGGAAGGTGCAGGTGAGCGCACGGAGGAGGGTGAGCCAGCAGAGCAGCGGGGAGGGCACCCAGGATTTGGGGGGACAGAGGTGCCCGGTGGCCTCAGCACCACGCACACATTCAGGGCCCGATCCTGCCCGCTGAGCTTTCCCCTCCGCCTCCAGGCCGAGGTTCCCAAATCCTGCAGATGCCAGCAGCAGAAAAACGCCCGACTCTGCACAAACTTGAAGCCCGGGGACCGGTGGATGTGGCACCGGTGGCCCCAGTGGGGCTGCAGGGTTCTGCTGGTGGCACTGCCCCAGGTGTGACCCGGAGCTGTCCCAGCAGGGGACAACACCTCGCATCGTGCCCAGAGCCTCTGCAAGAGCCGGGGGAGCTCAGATGCTGGAGGAGGAGGACGGAGCTGGGCTGGAGGGGGGGGCCCGCGGGGAGCCGCTGCCTGCTCTGGAGTCATCACTGCTTGGAGCACAAGGCACCCGCGAGGCTGAGGCTTCTTTGCTGACACGCAGCTGCCTTGTGCTAAGATCAACATTTTTGGAGAAGCCTCTGTTTTCCTCTCGCTGGCATTAATATTTCAGCGGCTCCCAGAACCCGTAAGCGGGGCCGCGCGGCGTTGACACGGGAGGGCAGGGATAAAAAAGACCCCGCTCCCCACCCCGAGGAATATTCTGTCTAGACGGCCTTACATAATCACATTTTGCCCTCCTCCAGGACGCTGCGCAGGGGATCTCAAAGCACTTCGCAAACTGCTAATTAAGCTCTGCAGCCCGGCTGCGAGGGAATTGCTCGGCCCTGCCGGGCTCCCTGGCCAAGAGCACTCTACACCAAAGCAGACGCGCTCAGGAGCTCTCAGCCCCTGCTGGAGCAGCGGAATTGATGCCAGGATGGAAAAGTCCGATCAGGCAACCAGGAGCTGCCGGCAGAGGGGCTGGAGGCTGCTGCCTGCGAGCTCCGGGCTCCTGCAGCAGGGCTGGAGGCTCGCGGGGCCACCCCAGCTCCCCAGGAGGTGCAAATTAGGGGCAGAGACACCGAGGCCTCTCCAGCAGCTCTTTCGGGTCCTCAGGTGCTGGACCACCAGCTGGTGGCCCTGCAGCTCTTGGTTTTGCCCAGTTGGGCCAAAAGCCCCTTCCTTGGCACCGGAGCCAGGGCTGGGGGCCCAAGGAAGAGCCGCGCAGCACCTCCATCTCTCAGTATGAATCACTCTGGTTTTTAAGAACCCAAACCCTTTTCCCAAAGCTCGTTGCATGTTTTCGCCGTGCCATCTGATTTGTACAACGTTGGGTGTTTTTTTTTTTTTTTTTTTCCCCTCCCTATAAATAATTACCGGCAGCCTAATGGATCTCAAACCTTGCATTACCTTGGCTGTCAGGAACTTGACAATTACGGCGTAGCCTTCCTCGCCGAGGAGCAGACAGGGCTGCAGCTCCTCCACGTTTTTTGCATCCCCGTTAACCCCTGCAGCCTCTTCCCACCTCCCACCATGGCACAAATACGCAGCTGGCCATATCCCCTCTTCCAGTATCGCTCCCCACCCGTTGTCTTCAGCTGCCTTCCCTCTCCCCTGGGCAGCCTTTCACCCCACTCAGCCCAACACAATATTTTCTTTGCCCTCTTTCCCGTTTCCTGAGGTTTTCATAGGATATCTAAGACGCTTCATGCAGGGATATTCTTAATTAACCTAATCTTCCATGCCCATTGTGGCCTGTCCCTGTTAAGGATCTGAGGCAGCACCTGAATTAGGGTTTAGGGGCTGCACCCCAGTAACTCATTTGTGTGCCCTCTCAGCTGTTTCGGAGCTGCAGAGGGAAATGAATTTATTATATTTAAATAATTCTTATTGCAGTGAGGTCTGAGGGCCTGGTAGGGTGGTTCAGCTCAGACATCTGGGCTCGTATCCCTTCAGAAACCTGGGTTCCCAGGACCTCCCCTATAACCCTGCACCCCTACAGAAGGAGGGGGGATTTGTACTGAAACACAGCTGCTGGGGGGTGGGGTGGGGGGGTTATTGGAACAAGTTTCCCACCCCCAAGGTGGGGTGGAAGCAGTTGTCCCAAGGCAGGAACCAGATCTATCAATTGCTGTTAGTGGTCCACGGGCCTGCTCCAGCCGAGATTTTGGGCACAGCTCTGACGGTCGCTCCTTCCCCCCCCCACCCCCATCGATGGGTTTTGCCAGCTGAATTCCTCACGCGAATGTTTTCCCTGGCGTTATCGTCGCAATCTGCTTTTATTTCCTACACAACCTTGCCCAGCCACATCTCACTCCCATCTCCTGCCCACGCAGCCGCAGCCTCGGCTGGCTCCAAACAAACCCTGGCTTATGGCAAATAAACTTCTCTTCCCAGAAAAAAACAAAACAAAACAAAACAAAAAAAGATACAAACACGGCACAGAGAAAAAAAAGCAAGGCTTACGATCTGCACCCTAGCAAAGCTACCGAACCCCCCAGGGACACCTCGTTTCTCGAGTGCAGCTCGGCTTCTCCCTGGGATGTTGTTTGTTCCTCGTCGCCCTCAGGCTGCTTGGTTTGCTGCAGATCGTCCTGAAATTGAAGACAAACCTCTAAACAAAAAGGCAAGGTCGTCTCCGGCTGCGCCACACAAAAATGTTGTGGGACAGATTAGGAGGAGACGGCGCTTCCAACCCCTCCGACTCGCTGCGTTTACCCACAAAGTTTCTCCCCATCCCCTCGTGCTCATTTCCTTATGCAGCATTGGGCATCCAAAAGAGAAATTAGTCCGCAAAGAGAAGTTTTTGCAAGCCAGCACGGGCCTGAACAATGCAAGAGGCAGCTCCTTTTCTGGGCAGCGCTGTGCAAAGCCACCAACATCGGCCTGAGCTTACTGCTCCCAGATGTTCCTCTGATTCCAGCTTCTCTCCCCAGCTCGCCCTTTATGCTGGGAACAGGCACGTGTCCGAGCTCAAAGGGCTCCTTTCCTCGTGTTTATGGACTTGGGTAATCCCTGGGCAGCGAGGGGCTGCCACTGCCTGGGGACACTGCGGGGACACGGGGCAGGGGCGATGGAGGAGCTGGAGGCATCCTGGCCACGATGCTTTTCAAAGAATTTCCAAATTTCCACAGGGACTGGTGGGCAGAGGAGGGGATGGGGAACCCAGCACGGATCCCACAGCCCGACCCAGAGCCCTGGTCCTGGGAGAGCCCCATCCCAGCACCGCTTTCCAGGAACCCTCCCTGGCTCCTCGGCCACGGCACTGAGCTGTGCCAAGCTGCTCCCGCAGCTGCTGCGGCCGTTCAGCAGCTGTTAAGCCTATAATTGCTCATTGAGTCATAAATATATACATATATATATATATTTTGGTGAGAGCAGCACTGTCAGGGAATTAAAATCTTTGCAAAAGCCCATAAAGATTTCATTAATGTTTCAAATCCAGATCAATGAATCTTCCCAGCCTGGAGAAAGGGGAGGCGATAGGGAGATGGGTCTGGAAGATGATCTTCCCTAGCCAGAACTGGTTAAAGACAACTTTGCCGGGCTGCAGGGTATCTGTCAAAGCTCCCGTGGTGTCCCCAGGGTGGCCCACGCTGGGTGACATCGTGGTGGGGACACAGGTGGGAGGGCAGGGGCTGCTCCAGCACCGCTTGGAAATGTGATGAAGCCATTAAGATGGAGTGAGCGCACCCGTGCCAGCAGCACCTCGGCTCTCCTTCCAGCACTGTGCCCATCAGCCCAATTAGCAAATTACCTGGCTCTTGTTAGAGGCAGTGATTGGAGTGAAAATCAGCCTGGAAAAGGGGCCCCTGCCCTGCCCTTCCCTTATCCCCTCCATGGGAAAGGCACCGGCCCCCAGGCACACACCTGCCCTTGGGTTTGGGGGAAACCAAAGTCCTCAGGAGCCAAGGCTTTAATTCTGTACAAGTTGCTGTAAAAAATAAAAATAACAATAATAATAAAAAAGGTTACGCATTTCCATTTGCAGGCCCTTGTACATGAGCAATTACCTTGTTAACTGAATCTCAGTGCCCTGTGGCGAGGTGCTGCAGCAAGCACCCCAGGGTGCACGGGTTGGAGACCACCAAGGGCTTCACCAGCACCTTCCTGCTGCATTTAGGGACAGGGGGAGAGGGCTGGGACATCCCCGCCTGTGTCCTGAGCCCTGCCAACACCTTGCCTCTGTGGTGACCATCTCCCTCCTGCCACCGAGCTCTGGGGACAGCAGGACTTGGTTCAACTGTGAGCAAAAGAGGACGAGAAGCAAACCTTGGAGCCACCTCAGATGGTTCCAAAGCGCACGAGCAGAGCCAGCTCTCCCAGAATTAAACCAGGGTTACCCTGAGGCCACGGGGGCTTTGTCCCATCTCTGTCCCAGGACCTGGCTCCTGGTTTTGCAGAGCAAGAGCACGCAGCAGGACCTGGCACAGAGGCTGCCCCACGGCAGGGATGCTCCAAGCCCCACAGCGGGGACAGAAGCCAGGCAGGGGGTCCGGCACGTGCCCTCCTCTCCTCCAGCAGCAGCTGGAAGGAGCAGGGGGCACCCAATGGCTTCAAAACCAAGCACCGGGGCCAAGCGAGCCCCTCTCGTGTTTACAGGGTTGCCCAGGCACCGCTCGCTCCCGCGGCCGCCTCCGCTCCGTCCCGTGCGCCGGCTATTTTTGGTGCCGAGCCTTCTCTGCTGACAGTTTTATTAGCTTGGTGAAGCATCCAGGCAGGAGGAGAGCTGCTCCAAGCCTCTGCTTCACAGCGACACGGTAACAGGCTTGGCGAGGAAAGGCTCAAGGACCTCCGAGCGCAGCAGCGGGGAGCAGCTGGTGGAGCAATGGGCCAGCTGATTTCTAGAAATTAAGAATATTTGGGGCAATAGGGCCCCCCCAGCCCCTACCCAGAAGTCACGGTGCTGCTGGCAGCAGTTTGCACCACAGGAACCCACATCCAGACCTTGGTGGTTGCACCCCAGGACCCTCCATAAAAACCCTGGTGTTTGCACCCCAGGACCCCGCATCCAAACCCTGGTGTTTTCACCCCAGAACCTCAGCATCCATTCCTCATCCCCAGCTGCTCACCCAAGCATCCTGGTGCAAATGCCACATCCTGACGTCCTCTCCCAGCCACGGAGCTGCCCCCGAACCTGTGCCCGGCCAGGAAAGGCTCCGGCAGCTCAGCCCCAGCAGAGGGCTGTTAGCACGTGGCAGTTGTTCTTCCCTTCCCGCTGTAACTTTTAATTAAAAACTACAAAAGGCAAGATAACTAGTCCCTCTGCATAATTGCAGGGAGCAAGTTTTATTGTATAGAAAAGCGGGTTTAAATTTTTAATAGACTTATTTTTAAGTTGGAGCAACACTTTGAAGGGAGCTGTGAGCCCTGGTAACATTATCAAAGGCGAGGAGAGGAACAGAGAGGGGTTTATTACATGTTCCCAATAAAAACTGTTATTTTAGGGGAGTTTTGTGCTTCTTCCTAATGAGAGATGAATTGCAGCAGCTTCATTTGCTGTAGGAGGAAAATTAAACCCAAACTGATAAGAGGCCCAGCCTCTAGCTTCTGACTTACCTCCCAATTATAAACGAAAGCTCGCAGGCATTCCAGAGATGGGACTTGATGTCTACATTAATTATAAATAAATTATCTACACTTACTGTTTAAATGAAATTCCAGATAAAGCTTTATATTTAGAAGAGCGTCACCACATAAATATTTATGCCAGGACTCCGGGGCTGCTTGAGTGCGATGCGGGGAGCCCCAGCTGGGCAGGAGCAGGGCAGGACCCAGCCCCGCACCCACATTTGGGTTCAAACACCCAAAATTTCCAGGCAGGAGGGCTGGGGCAGCAGGATATGCATCAGGGCTGGGACATCCAGGTGCTGGGAGCACCCACTGCATGCACATATTTTGGGACTGAAGATGTCAAAAGATTTCCCTGGCCAAGCACCAGGGGTAGGGAGAGCAAGGTTCACCCCCAAAAAAAGCCCCACAGGGCAGGAGGCAGCACCCACACCGTGGGGAGAGCAGCACCAGACCCCACAGGATTTGGCACCAGCACCGTGACCCCTGGTGGCCTCATCCTGAGCATGGGCTTGGTGCCGGCAGCATCGGTGGCCCCACGCAGGTCTCTGGCTGGTGGGTCATCATGGATCTCCCAGGGACAGCCAGATGAACAAGGCAGGGGCAGATCCAGTGGGAAAATTACCTGGGTTTGATGCTGGGGGGCACAGCTGCCCCCCCAGTCCCTCCATGCCACCGGAGCAGCGTGCGCCTGCCCCCTCCTGAAGGTTACTCCTGCCTCCAGGGCTCAGAGAACATCACCGAGGCCAGCTCTGCTCCAGCAATAGCAACAGCCACCTCCCTCCTGAATAAGCCTAGTTCTCATTTTCCCTGTCAGCAGCCCTCCCCCCAGGGACAGCAGCCTTTAAAGCAGGTCCCCGCAGGGTGGGGAGCCTCCAAACGGCCTCACCTGGCTGCGGGGGCTCAGCTGCGCCCGGCTCTGCTGCCGGGGAGGTGCCAGGAGCCCCAGCTGGGGCTTGGCACTGCTGGTTTGTACTGGGGGAAACTGAGGCACGGAACTGCCCAGGGACAGCAGCAGAGCAGGGGATGCTACCCAGGTGTGGTTGTGGCCCCCATGTCTCTAAAGCGGTGCCAATGCGAGAGGCAACCTCAGCAATTTTCAGCCCCCCCCAGCTGTGGGGACAGGGCATTATCCATCCCGTAGCGTTTTTCCCAGCTTTGCCTCAGTCCTTACAGAAAGTTTCACAGCTCGCACGGGTTTGCCATTTAGCCTGGGCTTAATAGGAGATGTTTTTTTACGCTTTAATACAGCTGGAGTGGAGAAAAAAAAGAAAATAAAATAAAGAGAGAGAAATTTGACAGGTCCGTGGTGCAGAGAAACGGTAAAAGAGAAGTAAATAAAAGCTGATTGAAATGTCTCAGCCCTCCCCGTGTCCCCTGTTTGCTCTGGTTGCCAGCCCCACACGTGCCCGTAACAGCCCAAAAAGGGGGCACAGGGAGCCAGAACCCGCAGCTGGTGCCGGGTGCTGTGCTTGAACCCAAACAAGTGGCACATGGGGCTGTCAACCCTCCTGCATCACCCGTCACAGGATTCCTGGTCCCAACCTGACTGTGCTGGAGGGGACGTGGGGCTGTGATGCCGTGGGGCTGAGCATCACGAGCCAGGGCCAGGCAGCCCTGAACACAAGGGGCAGATTTGGGGTGCCCACGGGTGCCAGCCCGCAGCCACCACGGTGGGACATGGTGGCACGAAAGCAAGTCCTGAAGCTTTCCAATGCCTCTTTAGGACCAAAGAGCACCTCCTGCCCGCTGGGCTCAGCTCTCTGCAGCCTCACGAGTGACCTGGAAAAAATCTGTGTGAAAAAATCTGCTGCTACTGGTCCCGGCACCATGTGTCCCCGGGGACATCCCCGGCTGTGCTACTTCACCCAGCTCATCGGGCATCGGTGACCACTCGTGCAGAGCATCCCGGCCACGGCAGGGTACGGGGACCACGCAGAGCACCCCGGCCACACCAGCGTGTCCCAGTCACACCAGTGTGTGCCCGCGTGGGCCGGCAGCGAGGTTTCGGCATCGCAGCGCCCAGGAGGTGCAGCGGGGTCACCTTGGGTATCACAGCGCTGCACAGCCCTCGCTCTGCAAGGGGAGCGGTATCTCATTTCTTCCTCAATTAGCTGCTGATTAGCAGTGTCCCAGGGCCCCTTTCCAGGCTCCGTTTAATGCGCCATTAATAATTAATTTCTCAGATAGCAGGAATGCAGCGCGGGGTTAGGGCTTTGTGACTAATAACTGCCGGAGCAGCCCTCGTCTCCAAGGGACGAATGAAGGGAACAAAAAATAAAGAGAAAGAATCAAAGGTAATATGTTTTGTGGCCTTTAATCAAACACGGCATAAAGACTTTGATTACTCAGGTGAAGAACACGGGGGCATGTGTGTGCTTGGTGGCCGCAGGCGGCTCGGCTCCCACGCCTCGCTGACACCGCCGCGGTCACCAGCATCATCCTGCCCCCGTCCCTGTCCCCATCCTCGTCCCTACACCTTCCCCTGGGGCAGGGAGAGAAATGGGGGCACCCGGAGGAAAAGCTCAGTGGCTGCCAAAGCAAAGCAGGAGCAGGGATGCGCTGTGCCACCTCTGGGTGCTGCGCGATTTGGGGTCCTGCAGCCGGGATGGGTGCCCCACCTGGGAAAAATCCTCGAGGTTGTGCTGGCTCAAGCAGATGCAAAACACATCAGAGGGGTCGGTGTGTGACACCGGGGGGGCCCAGCAGAGCTGCCCCCATGGGTGCGAGGAGCAAGGAACGTGCTGGAGCAGGGACAGCTGCCTGAGCAGATGCGCAGGGGTGGCCCCAGCAGAGCCAGCCCCGCTCTCAGCACCTCCCGGCTGCCAGGGATCCCCCTGATTTACAGCAGGAACCTGGGGCTTACAGGGACCCGGGTTCTGCTGGGCTGGGGGGGAGCTGAGGGTGGGCCCTGGGAAGCAGAAGCTAAAGAAAAGCATTTATTTATTTATTTTTTTTATTTGCTTTTTCCTGCAAACTATAAGCAAGGAATGTGGAAACTCACCCCCTCCCCACAGCCACCCAGCTCCCAGAGCAAGAAACCAAATTCAGCAGAACGAGAGAGAGAGAGAAAGGAGGATCTGGGGTCAACATTTAATTACGTAAAGCTGATTTACATCAGCTGATGACGAGGATCAGTACACCAAATATTCCTGTTGCATCCCCATTCCTTTTTCCGGGATGGATCCCAGGCTGGTTTGCTGGTCCCTGAGCTGAGTGCACTCCCTGGGGGCTTTTGCAGGGTTTTGCTCAGCACCGGGGGTCCACCAGGACTGGGCTCTGCTGGCCGGGCAGCTCCAGGCTCCTGGGACGGGGCTGTCCCTGCTGTCAGCACGGATCCGACCCCAAAAAGGGGACGGGGAGAGGGGGGAAAAACCAGCGTCAGCCTTGCCGTGCAGCGAGAACGAGCGCATCTTGTTGACAGCTGCACATTAAGCGTGACGGGTTCCTGACAGATCCAATTATAAAGCCCGGTCTCAGCAGAATCACAGCCCCGATATTTGGTGCATGAAATTTCGTTTGGGAATCTTTCAATATTTCAGCTTCACGACCCTGGTCCTCTCCCGAGCCCCGGGCCGTGCAGACTCTGGCAGTTGTCCCTGGATTTCACCCCCACCCCGTGCTGCTGCATCCCCTCCGTTCCCAGTCTGCTGATGCCCAAACCAAACGAGAGGAGTCACAGCACAGCCGGGTACGTACGAGCAGGGACCTGGCTGCCCTGGAAATATTTTTTCCATGAAGGCAACCGAGGAGATTTAGGCCAAAAGGGACGCGGGGCTCTGAAGCAGGCTGGAGCCCCGGTGGTGCTGTGGTCCCAGGAGCCGTCAGGTCTGTGCTGAGCGCAGGGCTGGAGCTGCACCAGTTCTTTTTATCAAACACATGCCCCGGACGAGAGGGTTTTTGTTATTATTGTTATTTAAATAGCAGCTGAGAGGGCAGCGCCGTGCCCCGGTGCTGGCTGTGGATGCTGCGATCGCAGGTGGGGAGGAAACTTGGGATAAAAGCTGCCAAGTTTGCAGCGTCAAGATCCGAGCTGCGTCATTTTCCCCTGGCTCTGAGATCTGGGAGCTGCTGGGAAGACAGATTTTTCTCCTGCACCTGCAAAGCTGTTTCATCCTCTGCTGGCCACAGCTGAGCCCGGGCATGCAGGAACAGCAGGGAGAAAATCACTGGTGCTCACTTGGCCGCATCCCTCACGGAGCTGGGAGCCTCCCCTCGCCAGCCTCAGCTCTCGTGGCCTCCTTGGGGAGCCTCTGACTTGCCCGGGGGACCAGGAGCTGGCCCCGTGTCCCCACAGCACCTTGGGCGCACGTCCCCTGTGCCACCGGCACTGCTGGCACCACCCGTCCCCATGCCAGGGAGTTTCTGTAGGGTGAGCAGAAAGAAACCCGCAGCGGTTGTATTTCCTGCATCCCCGCTTGGGGCGGCAGGGAAATTGTTTGATGCTAATCCCCTTGTTTAATCCAGCAGCAACCTGACATGAGAACAGTCACGATTAATTCCCGGCGGGGAATCGTCAGAGGTGCAGCAGGCGGTCGCGGAGCGAGACGAGGAGGCTCCCGCACGCGCTGGGAGAGGAGAGGGGAGAGAAGAGCAGCGTGAGGAGAAGGGGGTTGGTTTTGGGGATCGAGTTGCTCCACCATGAGCAGTTTTCACCAGGCTGGAATTCCCCTTGTTACGGAAAGGGACGCTTCAGCTGTCCCAGGAAAGGTCACCTCTGCGCGCCCAGGCTCCAGCCGAGACACCATGAGGTTAAGATGTGCCCGGGAAGCAAATTCAGCCCCTTTGCCCTCTGCTGCCACCAGACCGCTCCTGCTGCTGCCCAAGACCTCATCCACTCTGGGTGGGATGCAGCAGCCCCCTCCCGGTCACATCCCCAGCCCCGAGCATCACCTGCAGAGGGGCACCCAGGGCTGCTGCAGCTGCAGCCACTCTGCAGCCCTCCCTGCTGGAGACCTGCCCCTAATTCTGCGTTTCAATTTGCCTGACTTTATCTTCAAGCCCTCGGTTCTTATTATTCCTCTCTCTGCAAAGTTAAAGAGTCCTTTAATACCTGGCACTTTTCTCCCTGGGAAGGTGTTCGCGCCCTGTAATCAAGTCACATCTCAGGCTACTTTTCGGTAAGCTAAACAGATTGAGCTCTAAGGCTCCGTTAAATACCCAGCCTCGGGAAGGGCCAATCTGAGAAGCTTCCAGGCAGAGTGGAGCAGAGATTTTTTATTTTTTTTCCAGCTGGCGCATTGAAAGGTGAATTGCTGCCTTCTGATGTACTGACGATAAATGAAATGGGCTGTATAAAAATAAATCATTGTGCTGCCCTGGCTCTGGGGAGGTCGGTGAGCGCACGGCTGCAGGAGGCACGGGGATGCTGGCACAAGAGGAACCGGGTGCTCCTGGGGCTGGGAGCACAGCCCATGCCCGGCCCTCACCTGCAGGAAGCTCACCTGCAAAGGAGAGGGTAAAAAAAAACCTTTTTGGCGCTTTTAACAGCAGAAGTTGCTGCAGCAGCTGTTTGCTCCGGGTCTAATGGTGCCTGACTCCGCTTACAGGCAGGGAGTTATGACGGCCGGGAACGTAAGTGCATCGGGGAGCTGAGATAAGCAAAGATGCTCCGAGCCACAGGCTTAAATCCAGAGGTTATTGGCGGGGGACGTGTTGGCACACAAGGACTGGCCCAGCAGCCCTCGCTAATGCCTGGTTATCGACAAGGCAATTGGAGTGATGAAGTGGGGCTCTCGACTTGTTTTAATCACAGGACAAGCTGGCCTGGGGCTGCGCGAGGAGGTGGGAGCAGAGGGTCCTGCG